ATTAACAAAAATAAATTAATAAAATATAATGAGATTTTTTGATTTTGTAACTCTCAATTAATGATATGGGAGTTACATAAAAACGAAAATTACCTAAATATTTTTTTCCCTTTTGTTCACATATGTTCTTTGAAATTGTAAATTTAAAATTTTTATTTTTTTATCATGATTAATCACAACCCTTTATTGTAAGAATCAATGACCAAGATTGATTAACAAAGTTCTAACAATAATCTTGGTTAACATTTGAACCAATATATATATATATATATATATATGTGTGTGTGTGTGTGTTGTGTGTGTTTGTTTGTTTAACATTTATTTTATTTGTCATTGTGACATGATATGCATTTGTTATGAAATCACATGGTATTTTTATTGATTTTCTTCAAATTCATTTAGCATGTAAATGTTTGTTGGTTTATTTTTCCATTTGGTCACTTCAATTTTGTTTTTATTCAAAATTGTTAGTTTTGATCATTAATTGGCTTTTTTTTTAGATATTTTTATTTTAGTTGGATCGGTGACGATAGTTTTTAGTGTTGTTACAGTGGTGAGGTTATGACGTGGAGGTAGTCGCCGTGAAGGAGCGGGAATATCACCAGAGCTTTATTTAGTTTTTAGCAGAAAATTAAATAAATAACATAAAGACTAAAATGCCCTTAAGTCAACAAATCCTGTTAACGACCATTATGAAAAGCGAAACAAATTAGCAACATCAAAGGTGTAATTAGTTTCAAAATAATAACTAGATTTAATAATGATAATGATAATTCTCTTGTCCATGTAAAATTTGTCTCCATCAAATTCTTGATTATATTGTTATTGCAGTTAGGGGTTCTCATGGGTTAGGTTGATTGGGTCGAAGGCATTTGAACAACTTAACTCAATGTTTGTTGTTTGAAAAATCTTAACTCAAACCAAACCAAAGTGCAACCCAACTCAACCCAACCCGTACAGATTGGTCGGGTTAGTCAGGTTGATATTTTGATACATTAAAATATTCTTCTAACCTTGAATATGTTATTTTTCTACTTATAATTTCTTTTTCATCATCAATCATTTAATACAACTTAATCATATTTCTTACGTATATCACATTTAGTTAATTTTCTCGATTTACATATGTATGTTCACAGTTACTAAACATATATACGAATAAGTTATATAGAGATGTAAATAGATTGAAAATATGTATATATGAAAAACATATATGATAGTTCAATTGTCTAATGTATATATTAATAGAAATTCAACAATCATATTAAATTCAAGAAAAATAAAATGATATCGGGTTCATCCGGTTGGGTTGGATTCAAATAATAGTAACCCAATATCAACTCAATACCTACCGTTTGACAATTTACGACTTGATTAGATATCAGGTTGCTCTGATGGTTAATGTAGTGATAAAGTTAGTTAATTACAAGAAAAACTAAGATACATTTTATGTTGGGAGTTTTGAGCAGAAAATGCAAATCCGATAAGGATGGTGGGTCAATCTCCTTCATTCTCATCTCGGACTTGAGAGATCCAATTTTATGCACAAATCCCAGTTCTCTTCCAAGGAACACCACCATCTTCTTCCTTTTCCTCCGAAATGGCGAATCTTGATGCAAGCGAAGCAACAATCCCAATGTCTGAATTCCCGGAAGACGTTCAGCTCTGCATCCTGTCCTTCCTCACTCCATCCGAGATCTCCTCATTCGCCTGCACCTCCAAGCGGTTCCTCTCCCTCTGCCGGAGCGACTCCAAGCTCTGGTTTTCAATGTGCGATCGCCGATGGGGGTCCAAGACCCAAATCAAGAAATGGGGCTCTGGTAAGATTACCTTCAAGCATCTCTATAAAACGCTACATGACTACGAGAACCTCATCGGATTTTGGCGCCTTAGCAGCATCCAAAGCCAAGTCAGGGTTATTTCAAACCAACCACCAACCTTGGTGTTCTTTGAGTGGGGTCCATCCTTCATAACCGGTTCTAGGGTTTCACCCTCCAACACCGGTACTTATAACGTCGTAAAGACCCCCTTTTTATGGATGGGTATTTCTCCCAAAGGTGAAATTGTTAATTTTCTTGAACCCACTTCCCATTCAAATGAATTGGTTTCCGTGGATGTGAACCATATGGGGGAATTTCATATCGTCATCGAACAACGTGGTCTTAGCTTTGGGAATGCAAATGTCATAAATGAAGAGATGCTTGGATTAGAAAGTGGATCCCCTCCAGACAGGTTAACTTCTGAGATGTATCGCTACTTTGCAAACAAGACCAGTCCTGGAGGAGAAAGAGAAAGAGCCTGGAGGAGGCAGAGGAGGAGAGAGAGAGAGAAACATAAGAAATGGGAGGCTGAGCATTTCGTTAAGATCATCAATTACTCTCCTACAACTTTAAGGCCTTTGCAGGGTCTTTGGAAGGTAGTAATCATTTCATTTGAAAGCATATATTTATTATAACTTCAATGGGTTTCTGTAACTAATTCTTTGCTTGCTGTGTCTGTAAAACCTTCATTCAGCATCTACTTGTTTATGTTAGCATTGATGTCAAGTTAAGTCAGTTGGATGCACTCATTTGCATGTCTGACTACTACAGGGCATCTGTGAAGAGGCAAATCTGGACTTCTATCTGGTGGTGTATGATGACATTGGTGGTATAGCATGTCGAAGGATTGGGGACTCCTGCAAACCTTTCTCCAGTTATGCACCGGTGTTTTGGACCTCAAACAATACGTTTTTCGAATCTCCATTTTCTTCCGAAGAAGAACATATATATGATACTCGTGAACATCTTCTCCCAGCTGGGCATCTGCTGTGCTCGGAGAAGGAAGATGTGGCGCGCATCATGTACATCAATTCAAGCTATGATCTGGTGCTACCAGGATTGGCAAGCCCCACTACTGTGAATCCTCATCAGGTGGAGGGAAGGATTTGGCAGTATGGTGATGGAACATTTGGATTTGGGTTTCTTCGTGATAATCACATTATAGACTTGAAGCATATCGCAGTGGATGGATGCCTATTAGATGCAATCAAACCTTTGTAATAGTTAATATGTCCTTTCTTAGAGTAGCAACTCACATAGACGTGGTCTTTCTGTTGCAAGGCTCACCAATATGGGATCTATATTTGATTGTCTGGATAAATAAGTCAATTCCTTAACAGTATGTTCAGTTTCAGTATCTATGCAAAATTTGTTTTTGTTTCCTTCTTATTCATCGGTGTAGAGGTACGTCATAATAAAGGCGCTATTTTATGTTATGGAAATGTCATAAAACTGTGTAATTTTTACTGTTAGTTTCCTGGTAACTTGTAGAAACGCTTTTATCAAATGATTTCGTTGCATCTGAATTACAGTTTTCATACTGCTTTATAGAGATATTTGGACTCATGTTGATCTCCCCTGCTATTTTGCTTTTGTTTTATCAAGATTTCTGTGTATTGCCACTTGCAGGTTGATAGTAGCATTGAGGGAGAATGAATATGCTTTATGAACAGCTGAACACAAAGCTTCATGTTATATTGGAAATGAAGCTTTTGACAGGGTTTCTCATCATTTTTATAAAAGCTGAAAAGTTGCTGGAACATTTGAACTGTAGGACAATATGACAAGTTTCAAGCAAAGGAAACACACGATTACAGGTAACATCTTCAAGCAGATTAATGCAATAAGCTGATGTAACTTGAATATGAAGCCTGTCTTAATAGGAACTTAGCATTTAAACTGGTACATGAGCCAACAACACATTATCATTATTGTAATAAGTGCAACAAGCTTTCAAATTCCAATACTTGATCCACAACAAAAGACCACGTCGATTAGGAAAAGGAAAACAGGGTTCCGTCTCTTCCATAGTAAAAGGAGGTTGAGATTATGATGACGTGGAAACTTTATGGTGGTCACCCTCAAGCTGGCTCAAGTTACCCTTCTCTCTGATGAGTTGGGTGTGGTGGTGTCTGCAGTAGAGGCGACCTTCATGTGCAATGTAGTTTGATGGGCTGATGACACACCCTCCATGACTACATTTGAAGCAGCTTTTGTGGTATGCAGTTCCATTTACTGAAACCTACAAGAAACATATATATTTTATTCATAATAATACTCTCTCTACTCCTTGTAACTTGTTTTAAAGATTTACCTTTTCAGTGGGATAGACAGTGTTTTTGCAGCCCAAACATTTCTCTCTTGTTCCCACAAACATACTGGACACTTTGTTAGCCATTGGCTTCTGTAAAAAGATTGTACCAGTAAAATAAATCCTGCTGAAGGTTGAATATATACATGTATACAATTATACCTCAGTCCCATCATTGGTTTTGTGTGGCTTGAGAATCTTTGGTGTGCCTGATTAAAAAAAAAGTAGTGATGTTGATGCATGAATCCTCTTAATTAAGTAATTGATAATAATAATAATAATAATAAATGTAAATGATTATTACCCTCAAAGCTTTTGTCTAAGCTTCCAGTATTCTTGAAGAGTTGATCAAAGTGTGGCCTGCAATAGAGAACTCCCTCAAAGGAGTTGTAGTTACTGAGCTGCAACCAAGTAAACATACATAATTACAGATCCAACACCAACCAATCAAAACAATTGAATCCCACATATGATATGATTATACATAGTTACCTTGAGGGTGCCATTGCAATGGTGACATCTGAAGCAAGCTTTGTGGTAGATGCGAGTATCAGCAGTGAGCTTGTCCACAAGATACACAGTCTTGTCACATGCCATGCATTTCTGGGTTGTACCTGCAAATGCCATGGCTGCTGAGATTTTGGGATTCAGATTGGGATTGGGATTTGGGATTTGGGATTGGGATGGTAGGAAAGATAATGTTTTAGATAAGGGGGCGGTTCTGTTTCAATCATTTTGTCTGAATTCCCAAGTAAGCAACCATCTGTCAACCACTCATTCCAACTAAGCAACTACCTGTCACTCACACCTTTGACAACTTAACAACATTAGTATAATAAATAGAAGTATCTTTTATGTAAGATTACATAAAAGATCCAACCAATTTCATGGCATTAGACCAAACATGGAAATTTGCAAATGTGACAGATGTTATATAGCCATTTTTTTCTAATTCAATCAACTATGTTTTCATCTTTACTTTGGCAACATGAATTTAGATAACCAAATCAAAATGGGGTCAAAAATCAGATCCCAGCAGTAAGCACCTGCTGGAAGAACAATCAGATTCCAGCAAACAAAGACATGTATGGAAAGAACCTACGTTGGATGAAATTGTGTTTACACAACCACAAGGTATAAATTCAATAATCAAAGACAAAACAGATTAATCGAGTTTCAGAGAAACCAATGTACATGAAAAAAGAATTTTACTACATTACAAAACATAATATCATCCCCACCCCAAAGTTGATAAGAGAGAATGAAGACACCAAAACTGAATCTAACCTAACCTCTTGTCGGGTCAAGACTGGGTTTATGTCCCGTATATATGTCTGTGAACAGGCTGAGCGTCAAAAGTCTTAACCACTTGCAACCATGGTTTATCTATCACTAAAACAGAGCCTTTTGAAAGATGCCCAACATACAACACTGGTTCTCTGAAACCACGAATTTCAAAATTCTTCTTTCTACTTTCTAACTCATGCACCTCTATCAACTTTCGTTTTAGTTTCCCCTTGTATAACTTCTTTAATGTTGAATCCTGACCCTTTACTTTCTCATGATCTTCATCTCCACCAATTGGCATCCCAAAGTCAATGAAGCACATTGCCCTAAAAGAAAAAGAAAAAACAATCAGCATGCACTCCATTTACGATAAGCTTGTTGGCTAATTTCAGACTATGCAAATCCAACTACCTGGCACTGTAAATGATGACACTTGATGAACTCAAAGACGGCGGAAATGTGAGCCCAATAACCTCTCCAGGAAACTCTTGATATCTTCTCGGCAACATTAATGTGTTGTGTCTAGACCATTCTCCTAATTTCTTCGCATCCACGTCAAAAGCATACACTTGATTGGAAGATGTGGATATTATTAGCACATTGCTATTTCGAGGAGTAAAACCTCCAGCGGTAACTGAGGCACCATCCAATCTTGAAATAAACCAGTGTTGCCTGCCCACAAAAAGAAGACTCACATACTAGACAGATAAGGTATTCAAATATAAATAAACTGGAAAGAAAAGATAACTTGACCAGGGACCCAATTTGATGTCAGAAGTTGCATTAGAAGAGCAAGAGCAAAGGCCAAGTCGGAAGGAATTTCTATGAAAAAAAAAGCTAACACTAGCCCCTTGCCTTTGCGTCTCTAGATTGAATATATACACATCTCCAAAGCAGTTGACAGCAGCGAGCCACTGTCCATCAAGACTAGTAAACATCTTTGTTATTGGAGGCTGAGTAGGCGGTAATTCTTCATCGGACTCCGTATGACAAGGTGTGAATCTGTGAGTTAACTTCAAACTTTCAACATCTACAACCTGGAATTTTAAGAGATCTCATCAAAAAGTCTGATAAAGAGCATAAGATGCAAAGTGGCATTCAAGTCATGTCCCAGGTAAATTATAAACACATGCACAAATATACACCCAAGAGGGGAAAAGAAGTCCACATATAATAACAGAGAGAATCATTGCTTACATATATCATTCTGTCATGCCCCGATATCATTAACCGTGAAGAATCTGAGCTAAAAATCATGGAATGGGCAAAAGGTAAACATGAAGGAAGTTTTCTCTTACTTATGGACCACACACTTTTCCCAGTTCCGTTCCTTTTCAACTCAAAAAGGCAAGGCTTCAAATGATCTGAATAGGAAAAATATCTCCCTGAAGGGGAGATAGAGCTGCAAATGATCTTCCGCAATCCCTTGCTCTTGACTCGAGCCACCATATCAGTAGTTGATAGGCCACCAGATGGTCCGGAAACTATGTTAGAAACATCTTCTCTATTCACATGGACTGTAAAAATATCTAACCAGTGTGAGGCCTGGACCAGAAGCAGATAAGTCAACCTGTCAACTGTACTGCACACCAATTGAATGGGTGGTCTCTGTGGTGCTGGGCAGATATCATGTGGAGCGAATTGTGTGAAGTCGTTAACTGAATATGCAAAAAGCTTAGTGTCATCTCCAGCTGATATAAGCATGGGAATGCCCGTGTGAGCCCACTTATTGTAACTGAAGTCAAGAGGTTTAACCCTACTACCCCGGGCTCTTTTTATCTTATCTTCAGGTAATAGATCTGTCAGAGAACATGTGTTGAAGGCATAAGAATAATAAAGAATGGTCACCATTAAGTCAATCAAGAGCACAAAGGCATACCTTCATGACTTATGGGTACAGCAACAACCAAGGCTCGCACATCATGTGTATGGGCTCTAACATAACCAACATAGACCCACTTTTTAGTCTGTGTAGAAGAAGATTTATCACCAGCAGAACCAACGGCATTCCCAGAGAGCTTATATAGTATAACCTGAAAGAAGAAATTATTGTCATCATGATAAAACATCAAAATCAACTAAGAGATATCATGACATTTGCACTAAAAAGCAATCTCCATCACTTGTCTGATTCCTTCATGTACCGAGTAAATGAAGATGAAAGAGAAATAATATAAGAGCTTAAGAAAAAACACACACTTTTGATTAAAAAAGGAAGCAAAAGGAGAGATGTCTCACAAGACAATGAGATTTCGTGTTAGAATACAGCATACAAAAAATATACACACAGTGATTGCGGAATACAGCCAGTGAACAAGAACACATTTTTTGGACTTCACACTCACCCCACCATGGCAAGGTCTGCATAGATCTATCCCACCCCACCCAACCTCTAGGTGAGATATACGAAGTTCGCTTGGTTAGATTTATTTTACTCTCCACAAGATCATGTTACTACCTTTTCCTTTAAAATATCTTTAAATTTTGCTCCGTGATACAAAAAAAATCTCTTTAAATTTTCTATAACAAAGTGATATTCAGTACCTGCCCATCTGATCCAGCAGAAAACACCCTTGTATGGCTAGGACTAGCTGCCAAAGCATTAACATCACCCTTATGACAGGAATGTGCTTGCAAGAGAGTTCCATGTAAACTGTCCCAAAACTGAACACTGCCACTACTATCTGCACTCACAAGGGTCCCGCACCTGAAACGACAAATATAAAAACAGATTTACTAAGCTAAACCTCGTATAATTAACAGTGACCACTCACACAAAAATCCCCATTTACCTCAGTGCAAGTAAAGACCATACACAAAGTTCAGACACACCACCTAAACCTCCAAGACCAACAGTGATCCTGTGTACTTCATGCAACGATTTAGCATCCCAGCATCTTATGATCCTGAACTTGTCATAAAAGCCAACAATTAATGATTTACTTGCTATGGTAGTAATGAAAATCAGACATTTAAATTAATTGAATATCAATATATAAAAATTAGTAACAGCTGCATATCGCTTACAAAAAGCATCATGATAAATTGCAAGCGAATTTGCAAAAGTTGACTACAAGTACATACCCATCACTACTCCCTGAATATATCAATTTTCCATCTGGACTCCAGGTGACACTTAACACACGCCCTGCATAGAGAATGAGGAAGTACAGTAAGTGACAAGAATAATCAACTACAAAGTGTAGTGCCCAGAACAGGAGGCAGCTATCTCACCACTGACCCTTGGCAAAGATTTATGGTAAGTGAACTCATCGGAGTCTGAGATATTATATATTCGCACATAGCCGTCATCGCAAGCAATTGCTAAACTTGTGTTGTCAGTAAATGGATCCTCATATAACTCGAGTGAGTCGACTTCGATCTCACTGTCACTGGTGGCATCACCATCACAAATAGTTCTATCACTGACATGTCCATTTTCTACATAAGCCAAATCCTGTTTTGTATTGACCTGCAGCTTACACCAATGATGAGTAGCCATCTGCCAGATGGATACACCAATAGGATCAAGCACAACCTGCCATTAGATAAACTAGAAAAATCAGATTTTATAAAAAAAATTAACTTAAAGGAAACAGTTATCAAGTAATAGAGCCAACAGGGATATGGGAATGGAGTGTAGGAACCGAATCTTGAAACAAACTGCCATTCACCAAAACAAAAACCACAAATGGCTCCATGAAAAATGTTTTTGTCATTTTATAAATGCATCAGTCTGAGTAAGGCAAGGCTTCAATTCCAAACAATAAGGTAACATCAACAAAGTGTGATTCTCATACGTTTTGCAGTTTCAGCCAGTTGCTGCCGATTATTAACAGCTTAAATATTGGTTACTGCATTAGCAAAACAGCTTTAGCCAAGGTTCCAAGACACCACAATAAAACTCGCCATTCAAGCAATTCCTTTTCCAAGTAGTTATTTGCAGCAGGGACCAGCAGATATGCTCACTAAATCTCATAAATATAATTTTCATTGCACAAAATATGATATTATTCCCCTACCAGCTAAATGCGTAAATACGGACTGCATTACAAAATTTAGACAAACCTTCTGTGTCAAGTTGAATAAGTCCCACTCCGAGACTGATCCATCAATGCTTGATGAAAACAATCTACCGGCCGCTAAGCCACTGGAACCCGAACTACACCATACCAGTGAAGAAACTCTCAAATTAGGGTCACCCTGTATCGTCTATAACAATGAAATATATTCAAAAAACTGAATTTGTTATGAAAATAACACTTTGGAATCTGAATGATAACAAGAAGAAGAAGGTGAAGATGAGCATAAGAAGCATACCAGTTGGCAATGCCAACCAACAGCACCAGGAGATACAAGCCAAATCTCTAGAGAGCCATCTTCCCTAGCGGCGGCAACTTGAGATTCGTCGATGCTGGTGGCTAGAGCAACTATTGGGGACGGATTCCATTCCACTGAGCTGCTACTACATTTGTGGAACTCCAGCATCTCCACCGCCTATGCCTGAACCCTAATGTCTCCAGAGAGAATGTCTTTATAGTTCACAAGGGTAATAGAAACTATGTTAGATAAAACTTAAACAGCAAAAACTACTTTTACAAGACTAGTCCTCCCACTTTTAAAAGTAACCCATCAAGTCATTTGATTATGCACTCGTGAAGATTGAGATGATTGTCGTTTGGGGACACATTGGTTGGGTTTGCTGGTTTAGAGGCATATGAACAACCAACCCAACTCAATGACTACGGTTAGTAAAATTTCACCCCATTCAAAGCATATAAAAAGTATAAACCAACACAACCCAAACTATGTGGGTTGGGTTCAGTTGGATTGGTCGGGTTTGATAAACTTAGTGTCATCTTGTTACAAACAACTAGACAAAAACACAATCTACTTCCATGGACAGGGGTAGCCTCGTTCACTCTAGCAGCATAATATCCTAAGATCCCATTTGGTTTGCAGGACTTGATTGGATTTGGAATTGAATTCCATTCCAATCCCATGTTTTGGTTTGAAGGATTTTGAGGACTTGAAATCCCACAAACATAGAATTTTGAAATCCCATGGGTGGTGTTGGTATTTCAACAGAATTTCATAGGATTTGTATGTATAATGTTTTAAATGTTAAAAACATTTTTTGAAATAATCAATTAATAAAAAGGTAATTTAGTTATTTTTATAATTATTTATAAATTTTTTTATAAATTATTTATAAAAAACTAGAATTCAAGTCCATTCCAAATCCTACAAACCAAAGACTCCAAATCCAAATCCCTCCAATTTGAAATCCTTCCATAAAATCCGAATCCCTCAAAACCATTCCATCAAACCAAACCCCTTAAAACCATTTCATCAAATCAACGTCCCCTAAAAAAAATTACTAACAGCTTTCTACTTGGTAAAGACAAATCATTGGACAAACCACCACAGATACATTTCACAAAAGGCACCAAGATCAGACAGGGTATTGGAAATCTAATTTTCGAAATGTTCCAAAGTATTGCATGCATCCACTGAAAATATTGTTTTGCTTCTTTGTGTTAAGTTGAGTAAGTCACTCTGCCATTCACTGTCATTGCAAGTTCTTGTCAAAAGCATGTTTTTATCTTTTTTTCTGAAACAGACGTACTTGCCATCAACTACGAACTCCAGTTTAACCCGAGTTTAAACACACCTCAAAGTGCCCCAGTTATTATATAGTAAAATTATTTAAATTTAGGTAGCTTCACAAGAACTAGAGATTTGCAAACAAGAAATAACAATCAGAGTGAAAAAAAATGTAATACATTACTTTATAAGAAATTTCCAATCCCCTAAATCAAACTTAGTGCAGGTACTTGGAAAATTAGTAGCACCGATCAAAGCTAGATTTGCAAACCCCCAAATCAAGTACGTTGTCTCAAGATTCATGAGTAACAAAAGATGAAACTAATGAGAAGCAAACTAACTTTGTCATCAATTCCACAGATGAGCCAACATGAGTAACGGAAGCTAAAGAAGCTATTTGCAGTTTGTAAAGAAGCTAAGAAAACGCTGAAAAATCATAACACGAAACTACACATCGAGATATTGGATCGATTAGGTTTTCCACCAAAAAAACGTGGGATTTAAGGCGTTAGGGTTTTGTACGAACCGAGAGAAATCAAAATATCGACAAGCCGTGAAGGGATGTAATACCTGTTAATGGAAGTGCTGTGCGGCTGTCTCCGTGAACTCGTGAATGGAACTATGGAAGTGCTGTGCGGCTGAAGGAGACCAAGAACAGTATGGGGGTAAAGGTCTGAAGGCCTCAAGGCAATATGGGCTTTAATCACATTGAGCTTGGCCCAACTGGTGACAAATATTTGTAACAATTAGAAAATTGCATTTGCTTCGCTCATTTTTGGTATTTGATCCCTGCAGTTTCTTTTATTGCAAAACTTTCCTTATATTTGTTGGGTGTCTTGGGTGAAGGTGGTTGATCATTAACCAACATAACAGTGAACCCGATTCAGTGTATTTATTAGGGCGAAGAAGATTAACTAGCTGTTAATTTTGGTTCCTCCTACTAAGGGCTAACAGAGAGCATATGAACAGTTTTAAAATATCCGTGTTTCGTTAACTCGTACAAAATTGAGTTAAATGAATTTTTGGTAGAATTGTACATAGCGTGTTTGTACTTTATGCTTACCCAAATTGTACCGTATTCAAATAACAATCAGTAATTGTTGAGGGGTTAAAATCGTCAAACTTCTAAACTCTTAATCTATACTATATTATAAAGCATTCGACAAAAACTCTTAAAAACCGATTTTTTTATGCATTAAGTACTGTTTATTGATGCATATTACTTAAAATTCAATATTACAAGTAAATTGTGCGTAAGTACAACTTATTAAAACTTCATGTTTGAATTCGTGTAACTAATTGTGGATAAACATAATCAAATAGAGAATAAACATCTCATTTTAAAATATAAAAAAATTAAAATATAATTAATATAATTATTGAGTTCTAACAAAATAATTAATTATTATCTTTATAAAAAATTATATTATTAAATTAAATA